GGGGCGCGGGGGGGCGTGTTTGGAAGCCGCGACGGCACAGCAGGTTGACTCGCGGAGGGGGTGGGAGCGGTGACGGGCACCTCGGGGCCGCCGAGTGTTCGCGCCGGGCGCTTCCCCTCAGCCTCTCGGGAGCCCCGGGGGCCGGAAACGCCGGGGGCGCAGCCGAGGGCCCGGGGTCTTTTCCCCCTTTCCCTTCCTTCCTTCCTCCCTTCCTCTCTCCCTCTCCCTCCCTCTCTTTTTCCTATTGTAATTATCATTAGGATCACTTCGAATAATAGAGGAGGAGGGCCCGCGGCCGGGCCACCCACGCTGTCACCTTTTGTGCCGCCCGGCCCGGCCGCCTGGGCTCGGCCCGCGCGCCCCGGGCCCGGGAAGGGGCGCCCCCGCCTCCGCCCTGGGCGCGCCCCGCCTTTGTCCGGCCCGCCGCCCCGGCCGCAGCCCCGCGGGCGCCCAGGACCGGGCGGTTAACGCCCCCAACCGCCTCGCCGGCCGGGACAAAGCGCGGCGGCCCGGCCGAGCAGGCCGCGCCCGAGGCCTGGGCCTCGAGTCCCCGGCGCGCCCGCAGCTCCGAGCCGCGGCGCGGGGGTGGCATGGCGGCGGCGGGGCCCGCGCTCGTACGCGGCCGGCTGCCGGCCTCCCCGCGGGCTCACCTGAGGTGGCGCGCGCGGCCCGGTCCGGAGCAGCGGCGCGCGCTCCCCCGCCCTCGGCGTCGCACCCCCAGGCCCCGCTCGGGCCGAGCCCCGCTCGGTCGCTGGCGGCCGAGCCCTCCGCGAGCGCCCCGGGGGGGGGGCTTATGAGGCGGCGCGCCAGCTCCGCCCCGGCTGCCATTGGCCGCAGAGCCCACGCCCGCGCGCCCATTGGCTGCGGCTGACAGCTCCGCCCCTCCCCTCCGCAGGGCCCATCAACACCGCACGGCCCGCCCACCGCGCGCTGCGATTGGGAAGGAGCAGGCACCAGCCTTGCCTCCTCATTGGTCGTACTGCAGGGACACGCCGGCGCCCACTCACGTGCCCACTGACCGGCTCCGCTTTCATTGGATACAACGCACGCCAGCCAAAGCGGCCGAGACCAACCGAATGGTGACTGTGCCTCGGATTGACAAGGGCGCCTCAGGGACCGCCCAACGACCCTCACTGAGGGAAGCAAGTATTGGCTTGCAGGATCGGCCCCAGGCGCCGACTGGCTGGGGTGGGTGCCAATCACTGCCCGATGGCTCCGGATCCCGCCCTGGTTATCAGGCGGCGGCTGAGTACGTGAGAACCAGCACAACATCAGCACCGGGCCCGGAGCTCTTCAGAGGGGGTTCGAGAACCGGCGCCGGAATTTGGGCGCCGAGTTCCATAAACCTGAGACGTGCCGAACGCGGAAACAGAGCACCAAAAGCAACGTATTTTGCAAAGGAGGAGGACTGAGGACTGGCAAAATATAGGGTCCACCAACAAGCATTCACACCCCCAAAGCAGGTCAGCAAACCTTTGCAAAAAAGGGCCAGGCCTTCGGAATCAAGTTGGGTGTCCGCCCAACAAGTTTCCTAAGGTGTAGGGAAGGAGACGAGTTTGGTCCTTCTTTATTTGGGTGGAAGCTGAGCCGGACCCCATGCCTCCCTGGGGTGGCCTCCAGCGAAGTCAGCTCGCTGAGCCTCGGTTTCCCCTGTGAAATGGACTTGACAACATCCACATACTGCCTGCTTCCCTTCTGGGGATGTTGTAGGAATTAAGTGGAGCGAGGCACGCATTTCTCATGTTCTCAGTTGTCCTCCTTTGCAAAATGAGTTGCCTTGGTTTCTGTCAAGCTTAGCCCTGCAATTTGGAAACTCAGTACCAAATTCCAGCGATAAGCCTAGAATCGCCCTCCCTGCGCATTCTGGGCCAGAGTGTGATTTTGTGGCTTCACATATAACCAGCATTTAATAAAGGCTTGACATCATCATCATTGCGTTCTGGACCAGGCAGGGGTGTGGGCATGCTCCCATTTTGCTGGTAAGGACAGGGGTGTAAATGGGGCAATTTGACTTTTTCTAGTTGTAGATGGACACATTATCTCTATTTTTATTTATTTTTTAACATGGTGCTGATTGAACGCAGTACCTCTGGCTTGAGGCAAGCACTCTACTACTGAACTGCAACCCCAGCCCATTGACTTTTTCTAATAACACAGCAAGCATTTCTCCCTGAAAGTGGTGTCACTCTGAACCATTTGCACACTACAGCTGCTAATATTGTGCTCTAAATATCCATCTGTAGGGGATTGGATAAGTAACTCGGGGCACCTGGTACTCTGGGGTACTGTGTAGCAGCTGGAGGGTGGGTGGGGGATGGGGATGGGGCAGATCTGCGTCTCACAGCACTGTCCTGGCATATCTCCTGCATTGTTGCTGAACAGCTGTAGAATGGCTCTGTATTCAACAAGACATCATGGAAACCTGGAAACCAGGATCATGGAGTTTCTGAGCACCATAGTGTCAGGTGCCCAGAAAATGCACCCCCAAGCTGAGAAGGCTAAATCTTTGGGGAAGGAGAAGAAAGTTTCATGCTTAGTGAAGTCAAAGGAGATTTGGATCTGTTCTGGGTGTTTAAAATTCCTATGGGACCACATTCATGTAGTCCTTGTGGAATTTAAATTTAATTTTAAAAATAGCAAATAGTAAATGCCTTGGAGAAGCTCCCAAACCAGTGGGAAACACAGGTGTGGGATGGGACGGCATCCCAGGCAGCCCTTCTCCTAATTCCAGGTGTACCCTCTAAATGTTTTGGAATTCAGACTGAAATTTTTATTTCTTAGAAGAACTTAGTAAATTGCTTGACTTTTAAATACCATCTCTTATGTGAAAAAAAGTTAGCATTAACAACTGTTGAATCTAGAGATTGGGTATATTTGAGGGATTACTAAGTAATTCAATTTTTTTGTTAGAAAGTTTTCACGTTAGGGGGCTGGGGTTGTGGCTCAGAGGCAGAGCGCTTGCCTTGCACAGGTGAGGCACTGGGTTCGATCTTCAGCACCAGGTGAAAATAAATAAAACAAAGATATTTTTAAAAAAGTTTTCACGTTAGGAAAAGATTTGTCTTTTTTGCATTCTTTGCAGACATGCAGATCTCATGGCAGGCTGGGGCCAGGAATGGTGCTTGGCTATCTCTCCCTAAAAATGGCATGAGACCCTCTTGGCCCTAGTCCTGAGATATCATAGTCAGCAGAACCAGTGCTCACGTTCCAATTGTCTCCATCCTTCATTTCCTGAGGTGTAGAGCCAAGAAATGGCCACTGTTTTACAAAGATTCCCTTCCCCTATGGGTTAATTTGATGCATGAAAAAAAAAAAAAAAAAACATGGCCGATGCAGTGGCACATGCCTATAATCCCGGTGGCTCGGAAGGCTGAGGCAGGAGGATCATGAGTTCAAAGCCAGCCTCAGCAACAGCAAGGCACTAAGCAACTCAGTGAGACCTGTCTCTAAATAGAATACAAAAGAGGGCTGGGGGATGTGGCTCAGTGTCCTGTTCAATCCCTGGTACCCGCCCCACCCCCACATACACACACACAAAAAGGACATTTGGATCCCACATTTAAAATATAAATTTTAAAAATATACTGAGGAGGCCTGGGGTTGCGGCTCAGCAGTAGAACCCTAACCTAGCATATGTGAGGCCCTGGATTTGATCTTCAGCACCACATAAAAATAAATAAAATTTATTGTGTCTAACTACAACTAAGAAATAAATATTTTAAAACATATATACCAAGGAGAGAGGCATGGTGCTATATGCCTATAATCCCAGCTACTCAAGAGGCTAAGGCATGAGAATCCCAAGTTCAAGGCCAGCCTCAGCAATTTAGATACCCTGTCACAAGACAGGTCTGAGGAAACAGCCCAGTGATAGAGAACCCCTAGGGTTAAATCCCCAGCTCCCCAGTGTGGTGCCAGAAAATAAAATCACAAATGCATTTCTGGGGGTCCAGTGGGAGAAGGCCCTGCCAGGCTGATTCCCTAGTCGACTGATCTGGTGACACCGACTCAAGGCAGAGCTCGTCCCCTCGCATCCTGTTCCGCTGTCCGCAGAACCCTAGGTGAGGACCGGGCTGCTGCAGGAAGGAGCAGGGCCCCCACAGCTTTCTGGGAGACCACACCCCTTCCAGCCGGACCTCCTGCACAGTGTAGAGTCAGAGGCAGGCCTGGGGCCACAGGGGCAGAATGGCGGAGGGCAGTTCTGGGCCCTGGCGTGACCAGGCTCGACTGGCGAGTCTGCACTGATCCTCTCTCTGGCCCAGTAGGGAAAGTCGGGGTGTGGCTCCTCCGGGCGGCTCTCACACTGTGACTGCCCACGGACAGCACAGACAGTAGTTGCCACACTGCAGAATGTCCGACTGGACTAGAACATTCCAGGACTGAGCCCGGCAAGCTGCCTGGAAGGGTCCAGGAGTAGACCCTTGGCTTGTGGACCCCGTGGTTTCTGAGGGCCCTACTCAATTCTGGTCGCAGCATGGACATCGCCACATGCAACAGGGCGGGCCTTACTGGGTGTGCTCGCCTCACTTTATCTACAGGGGCTGGGCTCAGTGGCAGAGCGCTTGCCTGGCATGTGAGGCACTGGGCTCCATTCTCAGCACCACACACAAATAAAATAAAGGCCCGTCAACAACTAAAAAATATCCCAAAAAACCCTGCAGCCAGCTCCACTGAGAATGGTGGGCGGACAGCCCAGCACCCTGAGCTGCAGCCAGGACCCGCGCAGAGGCCACCTCCCAGGTCTGCTGTCATCTGCACAGTGCGGGTGACGGTTCCTGCCTGGCTTTCTCTCCTGGGGTTTGTGGAGAGAGAAATGAGATCATTGGTGCAAAGTGGCAAAGAGGACGTACGATCAGATCCATCTGTGGAGAAGGTTTATTCTGAGAATCTACAGTCTGGACAAAGAACATTGAACTTCAGAAAAAGCCTACACAGGTCTCGGTGCTTCTTCCCTAACTCGTCAACAATCTAGCAAGGAAAAAAAGCCCTTTTAAAAACACTCCTGCTCCAGTCTGTCTGCAGTTCTGATTGAAAACATCCCAGTTCCATTGAGGTATAAGCTGCAAACTTTGGTAAAGTTAGAAAAATTAACAAACCACTCAAAAAAAAAAATACAAAATAAAACAAAAAGCCAACACAAACAAACCCTAAATTATATCTTTCTTGATACATATACAGTAACTACAAAAAAATTCATTTAAAAATGTGTTCTTAAAAAAAAAAAAAAAAAAGAAACAAACAAAAGAAAAACCCTCCCTAACTCTCAATCACAAACTGAATGTAAAGGATGGCTAGACCCAGACCATCCGATACCCACCCAGCACTGGGAAGAACTGGACGGCCACAGTGTGCAGAACCTGGTTCACTTTCCAACAGTTCAGTGCTGAAAGCAAAGAGCCCCGTCTCTGGAAAGCGGGAGCCAAGGCACTTGGACGCGGCTGGGGGCGGCCTCCCCAGCTCGGGGAGCGAGTCCAGCTGAGGTAGCTCCCGGGACAGGGGCTCGAAAGGCGGGTCGCAGGCACCAGGGGAACGCTGAGGGTGTGCCCGCAGCCCGGAGGCCGTCCTCTTTTAGGACTTCTTGGTGGTCAGCTGGGCCACCGAGCCCAGGGCCAGAGCCACCACCGTTGAAACCACCTTGCTGGCCGCAGGAAGAGGCGCCGGCTTTGACTGGGGGCCAGAGCCACGAACCTTGCAGAGATTGTTCTAGGCAGCTGGGACCTTGCGGGTCGGTGGCGGGAACCTCTGAGGACTTCACAGCAGTAACCGACGCAGTTCCCAGGCCACGTGGTTGCCAAGTCCATCCTCAAACATTGGGGTTGTTTTTTTCCCGTTTTGCAGATACATCGCAGGCTTTATATATAAAAAGCTGAACACAACACTGAGAAATCCAACTTCCAGCCAGAACATGAAATTCCTGAAAATGCATGGTTTAAAGAAAAAAAAAAAAAAGGAAGACAAGCCTTTTTAGGGAGACTACACGTTAAGTTAAGCCACTAAAACAGAACGGGGGGGAGCCCCACAGGGAGGGGCCGCCAGGAAGTGCTGGGCATCACCGGCCGTTGCCGTAGCCGGGGAAGAGCTGGTGCAGGACGGTCTGCAGCGGCTGGTTCACCTGCATGGCATAGCCCCGGCCCAGGTCGTAGCGGCAGGCCGGGCAGCTGAACACCTGGGCGCGGAAGGACCTGTCCAGGCAGTCCTGCAAGACACAGCAGGGAGAAACTCTGTGTGTCCACCTCCACTGGCTGGAGAGAATGTCTCCCCATGGCCAATAGCAGTAGCCGCCTTCTCACAAGGCAGAGGTCCCCCCTGACCCCAGGCTTGCTCTTCAGCATCTGCTATCCACCCCAGCCCAGCGTCCCAGGGTGTGGATAAGCCTTTGCACGGCGGTCGTACCACCTGCCAGGCTTATCACTGCCTTAGAGGGCCTTCCCAGATGCCCCACCGGGCCAGACCTACCAGCTGCCCTGTCTGCCCTCACAGCACACCCGCCTCCCCTGGCAGCCCTCCCACCCGGGCTGTGCTCACGTGGAACAGGCAGACGAGCCTGGAGACCAGGGCTGCGTCCCACGAACCCTCAACACAAACAGTGATGGCCCTCAGTGGTGCTGGCAGCACACACCAGGGGAGGAGAGGCCTGCTGAGGCCCATCTGAGGGCCCACTCCGGCCTCCTGACCTCCCTGCCCGCCCCTCAGCCTCGATGCTCTAAGGACCTGGGATGCTGCTCCCCACCACAGCCACTTCCTGTCAGGCTAAAGCCACCTCCTCCAGAAAGGCTTCCTTCTGCCCTCAGCGCTCCCTCCCAGACCTCAGGCAGCGCAGCCACCTTCCCCTGCCCTGGGCCCCAGCCAGTAAAAGGCCAGCAAAGGAGAAAGGCAGCTCCCAGAGGCTGGCGGGTGAGGCTGGCGGGTGAGGCTAGGACAGCCAGAGCCCGGGAGCTGTGCTCCAGCCGAGCACTACGGGGCACAGAGGGTTCAGAGCAGGGGAGCACCAGGAGCGAGGCCAGAGCCACCAGCAGGACCTGGGGAAGGGACACTGGGCAGACAAGCTGTGGGCAGGGGTGGCTCCTCCCGCCCTCACCTTGCACACGTTGTGCTGGCACACGGTGGTGACGGGCCGGAACACCAGCTCCTGGCAGCAGATGCACTGGAAGGTCTCCTCCACCTTGCTCAGGAACACCTGAAACCAGGGGGCGTGAGCCGCAGGCCTGGCGGCCAGCCACCCTCCACGGCTCTCGGGAACCAGTGCACCACGCTGCCCAGGGGCCGTGGCCAGACCTCCGTCGTTCGGAGAACAGGCCCAGAGAGGAAGCCTCACCCGGGTCCCTGCACCAGGGTGGCAGGGCCGGCCAGCTGGGCCACCAGCACAGCACAGCAGGCGCTGTGGAGTCAGGCCAGGCTCAGGGAGGCCACGGGGAAGGTCCACAGAGCAGGCCAGCTCTGCGGACCACGGGGCCAGAGCAAGTGAGAGACAGAGACGGCGGGACCTCCAGGGTAGCCAGCCCCGCCCTGGGTCTGCAAATGTCGCCTTACAAGGCCCAAGGGAGTGTGCAGATGGGTCCAGGAGGAGACACCCACCCCCACAGGGTGCCTTGCGGTGCTGGGAAGGGAGGCCAGACCAGGCTCCAGCCCAAGGTGCCCCAGGAGGGCAGAGGCCATGTGACCACACAGGCACCTTCAAAAACGGAAAAAGGGGCTTGGGGTTCTCCCCAGAACCACCAAAAGAACCAGTCCTCGCGTGGGCGGGGGCTCAGCTGTAGGGTACTTGCCTGGCATGTGTGACCCCTGGCTCGACCTGGGTTCGAGCCTCGGCACCGCATAAAAAATAAATAAATAAAAATAAAGAAGTTGCATCCATTGGAAAAAAAAAAAAAGAACCAGTCCTGGGCACACTTGACCTTGGCCCCGTGGCCTCGGTGGCCTCTGGGCCTTGGTACCTGGCAGCAGAGGCCGCGCTGTTCCAGCCACTGGGCCACTCACAGCAGCACCCGGCGGAGCCAAGCCCGGAGGACGGACCCCCGCAGGGAACCCCCAGGGCAGGTCTCAGGCTTGGGGTGATGCTGAAGGTGACCCGAGGACAGCCATCTCCCGCCAGGACAGGGCAGAGGCAAAAGATGCCCCGACACTGACTCACAGCGACCCTTCAAGGTCACTAGCCCCACTGAGGGCAGAGGGAGCAAAAGGGATGTCCCTGGCTGGGTGGCTCCTCGGGAAGCAAAGGAAGAACCAGCCACCACCACAAAGTCCCCAGGATGGCCCTAAGGGAGCCGAGCTGGACCTGCAGTGCGCGGCCTGCCTGCGGGGACACAGCCACGCCTGCAGGGAAGGGGACGTCCAGGTGTGTGCCGGAGGGAAGGCGCCCGGCGGGGCCCAGCCAGGGCGCCTGCTGCTCACCACAGGGAAGGGCACACCACACGGGCCACAACACAGGGACACTGCAGCCGGGTGTGCAGACACGGCAGGACACACTGCAGGTCACCCCTAGGACATCCCGAGTCTCAGCCAGAGCCAGAGCCAGCCTGATGGGCTGCGGGTGGCGGAGCTGGTGGGCGCAGGGTTCCGGGGAAGGTGAGGGGACACGTCCCACCCCAATGTCTCTCAACCATGTGCTCACACACGCTAAGTGACAGCTGTGGGTGACACTTCCTACTCACCGGGCCGTCCTTGAGGGAGCGGAGGACCTCACCCCACAGCTTGGCGTTGGCCTTGTCCTCGCCGATGAGGCTGCGCTGCTGGGCCGTCAGGCTGTAGGGCTCCAGCCTCGTCTTCTTGGCGGCGCGGGTCGTGGGACCCCCCTGGCCTGGGGGAGAAGGCGGGTCAGGAGCGGCGGGCACCCCTGCAGGGCCGCGGAGCTCGGCGGTACCCACCTGTGGACTTCCGCTTCCACTTGCCCTTGCCCTGCGGGGGGGACGCGCAGCCCGCGGCTGCCCTCTTGCGGTTCTCCTTCTCCCTCTCCCTGTTGGCCAGGGCTTGCAGGTAGCCCTCGGGGTACTGGAGGGGAAGGCCAGGAGGCGGTTTCAGGCTGCGGACCCTCGAGCGGTCACGGGCCAACCAGAGATGGGCCCACGTGCGCTGCTCAGTGTACCCCCGGCCCTGCCACCACAGGCACCAGATGCCACCCCCGGAGCAATTCGGGTGGACGGGGACGGCTCTGCCCAGGCCCAGTGCCACCCCTGGAAGGCAGAGCAGCGGGACGTGGATGAGCGCCCGCTGCCTAGGCACCTGGCCCCACCCGGGACTGCCCCGCAAGGTGGGACCGCTCACCTGCACCCCAGCCCAGGCGGGCACCTCACACCAGGCCCCACTCGGCCCTGGCCATCCCGTGACCTGGCACCACAGGAAGCCTGGCCCATGCACCGCAGCCCACCAGCTGGCGCCGGGCGGAGTGGGCTCCTCACTCACGACCCCACGGGTTGGTTGTCACCCTGGTTCCAAGGCCACCCACTCACATCCAACTCTCCAGTGTTGTTTATCAAGAAACCCTCAACTCTGACCCTGAAGTCCCCAGTTTTCAGTCCTGGGAACATTTAAACGCAGGGACACAGGGCTGGAGCCCAGGAGGTGCAGGACACCCTGTCTGGACAAGCACAGCAGCTGCGGCCTCTCCAACATGCTCGTGGGCAGCAAGACCAGTCATAAGACTCCTGCCCCTGCAGGAGCTAAAGTCCCCCTCCCTGCATCTGCCATTCCCGTCCCAGCGCCTGGGCTTCTGAAATTCCCCTGCTGCACAAACATGTCCAAATGACACCCCTTGTGACCCCCAGGGGTAGGTGCTATCGGATTCCCACTGGCAATTAAGAGTCCTTAAATAGTCCTCGGCCTTCAGCTGCAGCCCCGAGGGGAGGAGCGGTACCCCTCACAGCGGCAGGGCAGGGAGCTCCCAGGGCCTGTCCTCCCCACAGCACAGCCACAGTCTGCTCTCGCCCCAGGATTCACGCATGAGGACCCAAGTGTCACCTGCACCTTCAACACCACTGGCCAGAGCACTGAGGGCCACAGCCGGCAGGGAAGCCCGGCCGGGAGCCCCGTGGGCCGCAGGGTGGCCTACATGCAGCACGAGCTCAGGCCCAGAGCTGGCCCCCCGCCAGTCCACAGAGAGCCCAAGACAGACTCAAGGCAGGACCTCGGGGGTCCAGATGTGAGTCTCAGCCACAAGGGTCCCAAGCCAGGTCCCCACTGCACCAAGCGGCAGGCCTGGACAGCGCCAAGCCCACAGTGGCCCAGCCAGGACGCACCTGCATGGTGAGCCCCAGTCTCTTGATGCGGTCCTTCCCCTCCTTGGTCCAGGGCCCAGGCTCGTCATCGTCCCTCCGCAGAAGGTAGCGCCACACCAGGAAGCCCGACTTGCCCTTCTCAGGCCAGTACTTCACGACCTGTGGAGGGCAGCCATCAGGCTGGGCCAGGCCAGGACGTGGGAGGCCCTCAGGGCCTGGGCACGGGGGCTGGCCGCCTGCGGTGGCTCACCTTATAGATGCCGTCGTAGCGGTTGCCCTCGGCGGGCGCGTACTTGCTGTGCTTGCCGCCCTTCATGTTCCGCACCACTCTGACCGGCTTCCCCGACCGCCAGTCCTTGGCCTCGGCCCCTACTCGGTCGTTGATGGGGGCACTGCAGTTGAGAGCCAGCGCCCTGCGGGGACAGTCGGGCCACATGGAGACTGGAGAGCACCCCAGGAGGGGCAGGAACCTGAGCCGGGACTTGTGCTGCAAACCTGGTCCCTGCAGGTGGGACTACTCGGCTCAGCCGTGCTGAACCTGGGGTCCTCGTGATCACAGCCAGGAGGATCAAGTTCAAGGCCAGCCTGGGCAACTTAGAGGCTGTCACAAAATACGAAGGGCCAGGGTGAGGGTCAGTGGTTAACGGCTTGCCCAGCACAGCGAGGCCCTGGGCTCGGCTCCAGAGCCATTAAAAAAAAAAAAAAAAAAAGGAAACCGGGTGGGCAGGCCACCAGGGGAAGATGGGCACAGAGACTGAGTACACCAGGGACCGCAGCTGCACAGCTTGGACCTATAGGTCCCCAGAGGCCTTGAAGGCTCAAGATGCAGGCAGCCCATTCCCTCCTGCCGTGAGGGAAATGGTTCTGTCCCACCTCGCGCTGCCCCTCCCAGAGGCCCAAGCAACAGGCCCCCCCAGAATCACGGGCCAGAACCCATCCCGAGGCCTCTGCTATGGTGACAGCGGGCAGAGTGACATGCCACCGCCACCACATATTGGAATGGACCTAGACAGGTCGCCACAGAGCTCCGTCTTGGATCCCACAGAGCAAGCGTGGCCCTGTCCACCCTGGGCCTCCTGCCTCTGGCCTCCAGCTGAGCTGTCCTCCAGCCTGGTTGGTGGATTGCTCCTGCAGCCGCAGGAGGCCTCCTGGTGACACAGGGTGGGGCTGGGCACTGCCAGGGCCAGGAGGCCACTCATCAGGTTGGAGAGAAAAAAGCCACCAGTCTCTTTAGAGACAGCACTGTTCTGCAACAGGACTTGAGAGGTCTGTGCCCAGATGTCACCCCACGTGTCTGAGCTGCTCCCTTGGTTTCTGAAAACATGTTTAACAGTCACTGGGATCAAAACGCCCCCAAGGAGGGTGGAGCGCCCCTCTGGTTTGGCTACCCGGTAACCGGCACTGGCTGCTTGGGGAGACCGCGTCCCCGCCTCACTCCTCAGTCTCTTAGAGTAGCACCAGAAGGTCAGGAGGGACATTTTCAAGGCTCTTCGTACAGAGAGCTTTTCAGACATTTGGTACCAATTTGTATTTCTACAAAAACGGAATTCCAGTCCCTGCCTTAGCACTTCTCAATACTGTGAAGTTTGAAAAAACGTTCTGGACTTGGAGGCCGATTCCACAGGAAAGTGACTGGGATCCCGCCCTGCTTCCACCCACAGGGCTCTGGCCGCTGCAGGGCACAGTTCTTCGTGGTCACTGGGCATTTCTTTTTTGAGTTATTTCCAAGTCCTTTGCTTTTGTTTTGAGTCAGGGTCACATTAAGTCACCCAGGCATCTCAAACTTGCAACCCTCCTGCCTCAGCCTCCTGAGGACTTGGGGTTAGAGGTGACAGCCACCATCCCTGACCTGGGTTTCTTCCCAGTGGTGTTTTTCCTTGGTGGAGGGTACCAGGGGTTGAACCCAGGGGCGCGCCACCTCCGAGCCCCAAGCCCATCTTGTATTTTATCTGCAGACAGAGTCCGAGTTGCTTAGCGCCTCACTAAGTTGCTGAGGCTGGCTTTGAACTCGAGATCCTCCTCCTGAGCCACTGGGATTACGCACGCGGCCACCGCGCCCAGCTTCTTTCAGGTTTTTGGGGTTTTTTTAAATATTTTCTCAGTTGTAAATGGACATAACACCTTTATTTCGTTTATTTTTATGCGGTGCTGAGGATCGAACACAGGCTAGGCGAGCCTATTAAATAAGAAATGACAAGAGGCCGGGCTCGGGCTCAGGGGTCGAGCACGTGCCTAGCACATGGAGGCCTGGGTTTGATTCTCAGTGCTGCATATAGATAAAATAAAGGTCCATGGGAGACTGAAAATATACATTTAAAAGAAATTCTAAAAGCCCTTTACATAGAAAAAACAATCATCGTATATAAGGTGTCCAACTTTCCTCAACGGTCATCAGCCCTGTGTACAGGTGTCACTGAGGCACTCTACGCGGTTTAGGTCATAAGATCTTTCACTCTTTCCTTTAAGCTTTGTGATGACCTTCATGCGGAAAAGCCCAGCTGTCCTGTGGTCAGGGCGCGGCGACCTCCCCGCCTCTGCAGGGCAGCTGCAAGCCCCAACCCTCGCTCACACGGGGTCTGCGGTCCTGCAGCGCGAGGCCCGTACCCTCAGAGCTGGAGACGATGGCCATCTGGCCGTTCATGGAGAGCGTCCACTCCGTCCCTCTGATCGACCCCCACGTCCCAGCCAACACAGGAGGGGGGGGCTCCTGGCCGCCCCCACACGCCCTGCAGGCCTCCTGCACCTGCCGCCAGGCCCAGACCAGAATCAAGGAAAGGGGAGACAAGACAGGCCCCTGGCACGCACCTGTTGGTGTTGGTGAGCTTCTGGTCACAGGACTGCTCTGCAGTCCGCTTATTGCCAGAGAGGTCGCGGCCGCCGCTACCTGTGTACGTGAAAAAATTCCCATGGTCCTGCAACAGACAGGAAGGGCGGTGAGCCCCTGCACAGGGCAGGCGGCCTGCGGCCCAGCCACGCACCCGGCCCGGCCCAGAGAGGAGAGGAGCCGGTGTGTGGATGCCGGAACCCGGAACCCTGCTGGGGCGCGTGGCTGCGAGCAGACCAGCCTTCGGAGGCTGAGGCAGGGGTCCCGAGCTCGAGGCAAGACCCATCTCGCGGTCAGCAGAAGGACGGGTGTGGCCCAGCGGGACCCAGGGGACCCAGCGACGCCACGGCTGGTCAGGAACCAGGAGCAGGGAAGCACTCCCTCCAGAGGCCCCGGCCAGCGGCAGAGCCAACCGGCCACGCGGCAGGGCCCATTCCCAGGAGCCCCAGGGGCTCAGCCTCAAAGGCAGGAAGGAGAGCAGTGGGGGCTAGCCCGCGGGAGGGGACTGTTCCAGTTTGGGAATGAGAGCAAGTCTGGAGCTGTGGGGGACGGCTGTGGCACGTCCACACGTGTGTGCTCAAGCCGAGGTCTTGTGACAATCTGGGTAGAAGGGTCCCCGAGAGCTCCTGCGTTCAGGAACATCCAGAGGCCAGGTGCCGGGGCTGGGGGAGCTGTGGCCTCAACAGTCCCTGCCCACCTGAAGGGACGACTGTAAGGCGAGCGGGTGGCGGGGGCAGGGCAGGCTCTGGCAGGGCGACTCCGCCCCACGGCCCTGCTCCACCTCTTGCTCCCCGGCCGCCACGGGCTGAGCCGTTCTCCATGGGGCCCTTCCGCCATGAGGCGCTGCCTCACCTTGGGCCCAGAGCAGTGAACTTGGCTACCTGTGGACTATGACCTCTGACCCCGAAAGCCCAAATCCTCCAAGTTGTTCTGGTCAGGTATTTAGGTCAGAGGGACACAAAACCTGACTAAGACATGTCCCAAGACCTCCCGTGGCCAAACACTGCCCTGAGGCGCCTCCCGCAGCTGGTCCAGTCCCTCCCTGGCCGTGACTTCTACAGCTGAGATGCCACCACAGCTGTCCCAGCCTCCCGATGGCCCAGCCCCACAGCCGACTCAGGGCGACATCTCCTCTCCTCACAGAGGGCACCTGGCCTCCCCGGGCACTTCAGGGCCTGAGTGGGTGGGAAAGGGGCGACCCAAACACAAGCATCCTGTCCGGGACGGTCAGTGGGACCACCTCGACAGCCACCGGGGGGAGTGACAGGAGGAAGCTCGTCCACGCGACAGCCTGGACAGGGGACGGCCACGGCAAGGCACTGGCCTCCTGCCTCCCAGTGTGCACTGTTCACCATGAGTCTGGGGGCGGGGGGGTCCAGTGGGGGGACGCCCACCTGCGGGAGGCACTGGGTTTGACTATCAGCACCACAAACAAACAAACGGAAAAGTAAAGGCCCCTCAACAGCAACAACAATATTAAAAAGTAAAATGGACTCGGGGTTCTGAGACTTGCAACGTGATGTTCTGGACCACAGTGGACCGCAGGTGACTAGGACTACGGGTGGGGGAGCCCACCTGGGACAGGCACACCAGCTGAGACTATGTATTCACAACTTAAAAATGAAGCAAGGGCTGGGGACACAGCTCAGTGGGTAGAGTGTCCACTCACAAGCCCAGGCCCTGCCTGGCTTCGCCCCCAGCACCACAAAGGGAAAGGAGAAAGGGAAACACAGCAGGCCGCGCCGTGTGCATGCGATCCACGGCTCGGGAGGCCGAAGCAGGAGGATCTTCAAGATCGAGGCCAGCCTCAGCCACGCAGCAGGGCCCTTTCTCAAAAGGGGAAGGGCTGCAGTGTGGCTCAGGGAGGGCTCCCCTGGCTTCACCCCATGACTAAATACAACCAGAACACCCCACTCACCACGTCGTCCTCGTACCCCCCGGCCAGCACCAGCGAGTAGGCCCCGTCATTGCTCCGGCCGTGGATGCCCGCCACATGAGGCCTATGGACCCCCGACTCGCTGACCTGCAAACCCATCAACAAACAAATGGGGGCTGGGGATTGGCTCCAGCGGTCACGCGCTCACCTGGCATGCCCGGGGCGGGCGCTGGGTTCCATCCTCAGCACCACAGACAAATAAGTAAACAAGAACTAACAACTAAACATTGAAAAACTCTGTCTTTAAAAAAAAAAAAAAGGCACCTCTGGCCCCAACTGCGGCAGAGACCCCGAGGCCCCTGGAACCCACCACCTGCACAGCTCCCGGCCCGGCCAGGCCCAGCCCAGCCCCAGAGGGCACCACTCCAGCCCTGCAGTGGGCACACAGGAGAGGCTGCACCTCGGAGGACACTGGCCAACGGCCACCCTCTGCGGGGCAGACCCGGGGTTCAGGCAGCCGCTCCGCCCACGACGTTTAGAGCCCTGTCACTGTCAGGCCTGGCTGGCGGCGGGGGCGGCACTGCCCTGAGCTCCTGGCCCGTCTGGACCTGCCGACCCCAGGGACACCCTCCCCCTCTGCCACTTCAGTGGATCTCATCCTGGCCAGTTCCACGCCAGGAAACCGGGGGGACACAGAGTGGGTGGAGGCCCAAGACCGCAGCCCAGACCCCCCAGCCCTGGTCAGCGGTGCCAAAGCAGCTGCTCCTCCACCTGGCACATGTCTGAGGGGGACAGATCCCAGCTGTCGAGTCAGCCAGGTGCAGGTGCTGTCCCCAGGCTGTGACCCGGTCCAGAGCAGGGCCATGACACGCACTTTGTGGTGGAATGAGCAGCCGCTTCTGGGCGGGTCTCACGGGCCTCCGAGGGGCGAGCACTCAACCCACCCCTGGCGTCGGCAGCGCAGGAGCCCCCCGGGCTCTCCCCTCCCCGCCAGCCAAGGGGCCCTCGGGGGCCTGTCCCAGCACTGCCTGGACACTGCCACGAGAACTGCCCGACCTGCAGATGGGCCCGGCAGCCCCGAGGGGCTTGGAGGCCAGCACGTGGGGGGAGCCTGCGCCGGGACCTCGGGTACCTGGACTCGGAACCGCCACATGGTGCCCACAGGGATGCCAGGGATGGGTCCATAGTGGTTGGAGGGGACGATGGTGCACTCCTTTGTGCGTCCCACACACGCCATGCCCTGTCCAGCAGGGAAACAAGGGAACAGCGTGTGAGCGCCCGCTGGAGGGGCGCGGGGCGGCGGGCGCGGGGCGGCAGCGGCCTACCTTGCCCCAATCCCGCTGCGAGGACGACGTGGCCGAGGCCATCTTGGCCTTCTTCTTGCTCTCCTTCAGCTTCTCGCCGGCCAGCACCACCTCGCTGGCGTCATTCCGACAGTCGGGGCAGTACCTGTGACCACCTGGGTGTCAGCTGGCGAATGACTGTGGGAGCAGACGCGTCCTTCCGCCTCCAGGCCGGACGCTGCCCTCCCGCCCCCATCCTTCTGCGCCACCCCAAATGGGGACATGCAGCCCAGGACCCCACTCTGGGTCACCTCGGGGATCTCAACAGCCACATGCAACAGGGTTGACCCCCCAGGGGAAGAAGTCCTGACCACAGTAGGCTCTGGCCCCTGCTGCTGAGCGTCCCTCCCAACAGGGACAGTGAATCAGAAGCCAGATGGGACGGGGCAAGACCCAGCAGGTGCCTCTGTCCCCCAGGGCCGGTTTCCCCACCCCCACTGAATGGGGGCAGGACAGCAGGGCCCCTGCATGCAGGAAAGAGGGCCCAGGGCCCAGCAGGATGGCCACCTGCCCCCCGGAACACAGTGGCCAAGAGGCTGCTTTGGCACACACCAGAGCAGTGAGCCCTATGTCCCTGCCGAGTCCCAGATCCACGGAGGGCTGCAGAGAGAGCCCCCGCGGCCACCAGCCACACCTCGTGCTGCGGCCCACTCACCACTCGGGTTCGATGGGCACGCTGCTGAGGGGCGGGTCGAGGCAGTCCAGGTGGAAGGCCATGTCACACTCGTCACATATCAGCTGCTTGTCGGGGTCCTCGCGCCTCCCGCAACTATGGCAGGCGCAGATGCGGCACAGCTTATTGGGATCGTCCTTGCAGTGCTTGCAGGAGGGGCCGTTCTTGCCTGCACACGTGAGGCAGGGTCAGGGTGCAGGCTGGCCGGGCAGCACGGCCCGAGCCCCCAGGCTGCGCGGCGCCCAGGCCCAGACTCACGTCTCATGAGGTTGTCAGCCACAGGGCTCCCTCGGCCAGGGCACTCGATCTTGAAGACTTCGTCCACAAAGGCGATCCGACAGTTGTTGAGAGCGTCACCTCTGGGGGATGACATGGGAACATGAGAACATTCCACCAGTTTCCATAACAGCTGGCTCACGGCTGCCTCTACGAGGGCCAGGAGGTGCCGAGGGCCTGGCGCACCTCCTGCCCATCCCTACTGAACCGCACGAGAACATGGCAAGCCAGTGTCATCCTGTGACGCACCTGGCAGGTGGTGTGCACTGCGGGAGCTCGAGCCTGACTTGGGCTCTCCACCAGAGCCACCACGGAGACTGACCCACCTGCCCAGGAAAACACCCAAGAGCCCCTTCTGTCCAGTAAACGACGCAGGATCAACACGGCCATCAGCCACACCCAGGGGGGACAACGTGTGAGGCTGACGTTTCCAGAGTCTATGTTTAGAAAGAAACGCAGGCAGAAGTGCACGTCCCCCACACACGACCCCAGCACAGAGCGGGGGCAGAGGCCGGGCCAGGGCGCGGGGGCAGAGGACAGGCCCGAGCAGCCCCGGGGCCCAGTGCTCTGCTTCCGCCCAGGCACCCAGCGCGCGCACACACCCTTGGAGACAGACGCAGCAGGACAGGTGACCAGTGGCCAGGAAGACGTGATCATCAACGTGGACACACTGAACAGCCAGCCTCGGTGGAGAGGTGCCAGGAAGACCCACCACACAGCCAGGCGCTCCCCTCCCTTGCCACCGATAGAGGGCACAGTGAGAACAACACGACCCGGGCACCCGCCAAGAGATCCAGCCTACAAGAGAGGGCGTCCACCCCGAGCAGCACAGAAGAGTCACCAAGAGAGGTCACATCCTGGGCCAAAAAACACACTTCAAGGGCTGGGGATGTGGCTCAAGCGGTAGCGCGCTCGCCTGGCATGTGTGCGGCCCGGGTTCGATCCTCAGCACCACATACAAACAAAGATGTGTGTCCACCGAAAACTAAAAAATAAATATTAAAAAAAATTCTCTCTCTCTCTTTAAAAAAAACACTTCAAGACTTAAAACCACACAGAAGATGTTCTTTGACCGTAAGGAAGTCAAACAAGAATCACTAATCAAAAGACAATGGGAAGCCAAGCAGGTAATCCCGGAGGCTCAGGAGGCTGAGGCCGGAAGATCACGAGTTCAAAGCCAGCCTCAGCAACTTATCGAGACTCTAAGTAACTTAGCAAGACCCTGCCTCAAAATAAAAACCAAAAAAGGGCTGGGATGTGGCTCGGTGGTTAGGTGCCCCTGGCTTCAATCCCAGGTACCAAAAAAAAAAAAAAAAGATAATGGGAAAATCTCTAAGCAACAATCTTCAAAATTAGCCGCAAGTCAGAGAAAGTCTCAAAAAATTTAAAATGCAATTAAGAAAACCAGTTGTGGACGGGGTCGTGGCTCGGTGGTAGGGCGCTTGCCTAGCACGCGTGAGGCCCTCGGTTGGATCCCCAGCACCACGCAAAAATAAAAAATAAAATAAAGGAAGGCACTGTTCAACGCCATGGTCTACAGTCCTAAGTCCAGCCCTAGAGAGCAGGGCCGCCCACAACAGGCCGGAGGACGCTGCCCAGAAGACCCATGACAGACAGACAGAACCACAGGACACGACAGCCGGTCCCACAGACGCGGAGGGTGGCCCTCGAGAGGGCTGAAGGAGGAGCGCAGCCCCTCTGCTCACAGGAAAGGGGCGACTCCTTCAAAACTACAGGCACCCCGACTGGACCGCAGCAGCACAGCCCGGACGGCCTCTGGACCATTCAAGAAACTGGATTCATAAACACAATCTCCTCAAAAGTATCCAGACCCCCAGGGTCACCCCAGAGCCTAAAGAGGATGGGCATCGAGCTGCCCGGCTCTAGCAGGAGCAGGGGAGCGAGCGCTTCCTGCTCATGTCCTGAGGCCAGTGCTGACCAGACCAGCGACAGCCACACCAGGCTCGCACACTGACCCCTGCTCCTGGTGAACCCGCCACCAGCACCGCAGAAAACGAACAAACCTCAAGACACCCACGTGCCCCAGCCGAGTGGACGGCTGGGACAGTGGTCCTCCGTGCCAGGGGACGCTGGTCAGCAGCTGATATAAGCAACAGGAGCGTGTGGCCCCAGGAAGTCATGCAGAAGGGGAAGCTGACCGCAGAGACCACCTGCCACCACACCCCCACCAACGGGACGTTCCTGGCACCCAAAGGACACTGCTGCTGGCTGGAGGGGTGGGGGGAGCCACGAGAGGGTGACAGGCCAGGTGCCACACAGGCCCTATGGTCCCAGCAACGCAGAGGCAGGAGGACCCCTCAAGCCTGGGAGTTTGAGAGCGGCCTGAGGGAGGGGTAAGACCTCGTCCCTACACACAGGAACAGGGGTAGCCCCGGTGGGGCTGGCGGTCAGGGACCTGCCTCGGCCAGGCCCTGGGCCTCGCCCTGCCCTCTGAGGGTGGTCAGGGGAGACTGGAATCCCCGCGGAGGTCCCGAGCTGGCCCGGGGCGGCGGCTCACCCGATCTTGACGTTGGCGTACAGCTCCCGCGCGGTGCGCGTCTCCCGCTTCCTGGTGATCTCGGCGTCGTACCAGAAGCCGCGCTCCTTGGGGTAGTCGGGGTTGTAGTTGAGCATGACCACCTGGCCCACCTCCAGCTCCTGCCACTTGAGGATGGTGCGGGCGCGCGCGCGGACGTCCCTGGGCCTCATGGAGACCACGCCGTTCTCGGGGTAGCTGCGAGAAGAGCGCAAGCCTGACATCCTGTGGGACCCGGAGCCACAGGGTGTCAGGCTGGGCCCTCAGCCGCCACCAAGGCTGGTGCAGAACAGGCTGCACTGCAACACCAGCTGGCCGCGAGGGCCGTGCTGGAGATGCGGGGCGCACCGGGCAGGCGGCGGTCCTCCCGGAGGCCGGACCCGGACAGGGCTCTGGGCCTGTTGTGGAAATAGTGCGCAGATGGCATCACACCAAGGTGAGGTCACACTGGAGCAGGGTGGGCCCGGCTCTCTACCTGAGGAGATGGGGACACGCGAGGAGGTGGCAGCCTAGGACAAGGGCTGCTGGGCACGGGGACAGGCGGGGGCCAGGATTTCCTCCAGACCCTCCAGGGGCCCGCCCTGCCCAACACCTTGACCTCACTCCCACCTCCAGAGGCCGTCAGTGCCATCCAGCAGGTTGTGCCACCATCACGGTGGCCCTGAGAGGCGGACACAGAGGAACCCCGGGGCGGGGCCCAGCCTCTCCCGCACGGGGACCTTGGCTCTGCACGCGAGTGTCACAGGGAGCCCCCGCTCCATGAGGGCTATCCCCCCAGCCACGTGGAAGGCACCGGACAGCGCAGCTCAAGGAAGCCTGCGGCCGCGGAGACTGGAGCCCAGGCAGCCCGGGGCCACGCCAGGCCCAGCAAGCGGCTCCTGCCGAGCCCAACAGCAGGGCTCTCTCCCGGCCACTGCCCGTGAGCCACGGGTGCCAATGCGTCTCAATAAAGCTTCACTCAAAAATCAGAAGGTGGCCAGAGTCGGCCCTCGGTCACGGTTTACAGACCCCCAACAAGAGGACATGGCTCTTGTCCAGCAGGAGCACCTCGATTCCTTCTCCCCTAACTACAGACCTGAGCTCAGGAAGCCAGACGCTGTCCCGGAAAGGACGGGCCACCAGCAGGAGGAGCTCACTCCCGGAAGTCAAGGCCCTCACCCAGTGGCCAGGGGCACCTCAAGGGAGGGGCAGAGCCGTGTGTGGTCACGGGTGAGAAGACTGTCCGCAGGCCAGGAAGCGCCGGGCCACAAACCCGCCCTTGCTCCCTGCCCTGGACTCCAGGCTCCAGGCCTGGGACAGGGGGAGGTCCGGAAGTCAAGCCTCCAGAAAGACAGCGTCCCATTAGGTGGCCCAGATGGCCTGGCGTCCACTCAGGGACCACACCCACACCCACTCAGAACCGGGTACACAGCAGGCGCTCAGAGAAAGACCACACGGCACAGAGCTTCTGCTGGGGGAAGAGACGAGATGCCAGTCGGCGTCCCCCACGGCGTGGGGCGTGGCTGGACCCAGAGGCGTGGGCAGCCTATGGCGCGAGGGCCAGCCCAGAGACTCACTCGTCGTACTTCACACGGTAAACGATGTCCTCTTCGGGACTCGAGCCGGCGGTGGAGCTGCTGGGCTCGTCCCCAGATGGCGGTCTCTTCAACACCCTGACCACCTGAGCCTCGAACCACGCGCCCATGCCGGTGTCGCGGGCGTCCACGTAGTCGTTGACCTGGGGGCCAGGACACTGACTTGCCACAGCCACGTGGGAGGGACACTAGGGCTGGGCTGCCCCTGGGCAGGCGTCCTGGCAGCACAGGTGCTGGGCAGTGAGCCTGGCCTCTCCCACCCCACGTCAGGACACCCGAGTGTCCAGACACTGCCCAGGGTCCTCGGGGCAGAATCACCCAAGACGACAAGTCCCAGCTCCTGGAGCCACAGCAGCCGACGGGGCACCTCCTGGTCCCAGTCCTGGCTGCCGGTGGCCTGGAGCAGAGCCACCTGCTCGTCAGGAAGCTCTAGGTCAAGGTCTTCCTGGGAAGCACTTCCTGACCCACGAGGGCAGCAAACTCAGAAACGTCACAGCCACCACACTGGCCCCAGGGGACATCTACTGCCTCAATGCTAGGCTCCACCCTTAGAGGGTCACCAAGGAATCCCAGAGGACCATGGTCGCCTGCAGGAGCACGAAGACTGCCCTGGCCACTTCTAGGGCAGGAGCGAGGTGACCAGCAGAGAGGGCAGCCTGAGGGAGGAGGGCAGGGCTGGCGTCCCCAGGGGCCCCGCCGCCTCACCTTGTACAGCCCCAGCTCCGTCTCCTCCCACGTGCTCTCCTCCTGCTGCTCGGCCTTGCCTTCCGCCTCGGCGGCCGCCTCCCCATGAGTGGAGGACTTGTCCGACTCGCTCTGGCCCAGGCCGCAGCCGGAGTCGGTGTCCGAGAGCTCCGCGTCCTTCTCCCTGAGGCCGGGCGGCGACGCAAGGCTCTGGCGGACCAGCAGCTGGATGGTGTCGTTCAAGCGCACGTCGTAGTCGAAGAGCGTGTGGCCGTCCTCCATCTGCAGACACACCAGGACAGGCGTCCACCACGGGCCCAGGACAGGTCCACCCCAGAGGCAGCAGAGAAGGCCCCTGGGGTGGGGTGGGGCCATCCTCCTCTAGGGCGCACTCCTGGTGCCTGGGACACAGCACAGTGGCCGCTGGACGCCTAGCACTTCACAGAGAACACGGGTTCCCTCTGCCACAGCTCACACGGGACTCCCAGGACACGCCTGGCCACAACCAGGGACACGTGGCGTCTGGGTATGCTGACCACAGTGGTGGAGGCTAGGGCTGCTGCCCAGCATCCTGCAGGGCCAGGATGCAGCCTGGGAGTCCACGACACACCCCTGAACACCCCTGGCCGGAGCTGACTCTGCAGGTCCCTGGGAGCCGTTCTGGGGACGGCTGGAGCTGGCCACAGCACCACCCTGCGCGCCACAGGACCACCCGGACACCCCGCCCAGACCTGATGGCTCCCTGTGGCTGCTGTCG